CGGTGCGTCAGTGCGAACAGAATGCCGTAGCCGCTTTTGCAGTCAGGACAGCTGTGTGAACACACTTTGCCACATGAAGTAAACAATTTAAAGCATGGCCAGTGAAATTTAGGTATGCAGATGGCATGCTTGGTGCGTTTGCCCGACAGTTCGACCGTCGCAGGTGATGCGATGTCCACTGCGGAGTGGACCCAACATCAGCGAATTGCGCGCGGATTGGTTTGGCAAACTGGAACAGCATCTGTTGCACTCTCTCGTCTATCATCCACTTTGCTCAGGTGACAAGACTAGGAGAACCGGAGGTGGACTCAGACACAGTGTCTGACATAGTTAAACAAAACGCCTATGCTTGTCACACACAATCTGTTCTCCACAGAATGTGCTAGGCTTTCGCGTGGTCTCTTTGATGGCACATGCATGGGCAACCGTAATTTACGTAGTCCACCTCATATACCCTAGGTCCCAGCACTTTTTTCCTAAGGAAATTGTTTTATAGGGGTTTTATTGGTGAAGAATTAGGATAGGCAGTGGAATGTACTTTAATAACTGCTACATGCATTTTTATTTTACTGCATTTAGAAATTTTTTTCTTTTGCTTTCTAGATTTTCCTAATCTGTATTATCGTTTAAGGCATTGCGGAAAAATCTGGTTATCAAAATGCAGATTTCCTGAGCTTCCTTAAACAATAGAAATGGTAGTTAGGAGGTCGGCTACTTCAACTTACCCGAGGTAAAACTTACCGTTCTGGATTTAGATTAGTATATTCCGCGGCGCGAATCACCGCCCACACCTTCAATTTACGTGCGGAATAACTTACTCCCCGCGGCCGCGGGAAACAAATTCAACTACATTTTTCTACTTTAGCCTTATTTCTACAAATTTCTTTAACTGCCTATCCTATTACCTCACCCTACAAACCCCCTATAACCACCCTCTGTGTACGACAAAATGCTGGAACTGGGGGTTTATTAGGTGCACTACTTAAACTACTTTTGTCTATGCACGAGAAAGAAAAAAGACCATTAGAGCAGAAACATTCGTCAGCAGTTTTACACTGACCATTTGCGCAAGTCAGAGGCCTAAAACAATCGGATGCCGTCCTAGTTCTGCCCACAGATGTGGCCACCCGACAATCCGTAATGGTAGCATTTCAATAAAAGCCCACGGTCAGTCCCCAGAAAACCATTTGGGTCTTTGGCTCCCTGAGGAAGTTTTGGCACAAAGTAGCGTATCCTGCGGTGAAGCTTAAGTAAATGGTCGCTTAAACAATGCACGGGAATATAAACGCCCACCCAAGCAAGAAAGTTAGCCATCTGCATAAGTCCGGGAAAGGCCAATATCCCCGTGTCCTTCTCTTAACCCTAACCACAGAACAAACCCCAATCATTATGTTATCCCTAAGTTACCTTGACCCTAATCTTAGTCCTCACCATAAGATTAATACAGAGGTCACCGGAATTTGGTGTATTTCGGGCGTTTCCTGATCTCATGTCCTATTTACGGGTTATATAAGTCATCCTTTCCTATGCTGCGACTGAATTGGACTCAACACAGAAAACGCCAACCGGGCTGGCAGATTAATAGCTTTTTTCTTCATTTAGTGCTTGGTGGACTGTTCGGATCTACTGATAGTAAATGCGAATAATTCCCTCTTTTGAATTAAAATAAACTCAGAGTTTCACGCCTGCGTTCGCATTCCACGAGTCTGGACAGCAAGAGCCCAATAAAGATATCCACACCAGAAACGCTAACCTGATTCGACTGTGCTATGATCTATCTGGCTCATTTACCTTGTGTCTTTGATGCAAATAAATAAGACAAGGGTAGTTTATATAGGTCCACCATTTATCCCCTAGTCCCAGCATTTTGTCCTGCAAAAACGGTGGTTATAGAGTTTTGGGGGGTAGGGAAATAGGATAGGCAGAGAAGGAAATTTTTAGATGTAAGTGTAAAGTGAAAAAAATGTAGTCGAAGTTGCTTCCCGCGGCCGCTGGCAGTAACTTGTTCTGCATGTAAATTGAAGGTTTGCGCGGCGCTTCGCGCCGCGGACTATAATAATCTAACTTCAGGACGGTAATTTGGACCTCAAGTAAGTTAAAGTAGACGACCTCCTAACCACCAGTTCAAATTTTTCGGGAAATTCAAGAAACCTGCAATTTGATAATCGGGTTCTTTG